ACCTCTTCCCCTACCGCACTCCGTCCCTCCCCCCGCCACCGCTCTTCCTTGTACCAGGTCCCCCCCCGGTAGACCCCCTCCCCCCTCAGGGTCCTGCCCCTTCAGGTGTGTCCCAGGTAGCAAAGTCGAGCCTGTCGAGGTTACTAGTGACTCTGGTGCTGCTGAGGGTGCTGAGCCAGGGGGTGCTGACTCTGGGGGTGCTGAGCGTGTGGGTGCTACGCCTGGGGGTGCTGAGCCTGAGGGTGCTACTACTGGGGGTCCTGAGCCTGGGGGTGCTGAGCCTGGGGGTGCTACTACTGGGGGTACTGAGCCTGGGGGTGCTGAGCCTGGGGGTGCCACGCCTGGAGGTGCTGAGCTTGGGGGTGCGGAGCCTGAGGGAGCTGGGCCTGCTCGTGTGGCGTCTGGCGGTGCTGAGCCTGGAGGTTCTCCGGGTGCTTCGTCTCGGCGGGAGCCACTCTCTCCACAGGAGCTGCGCGAGTGGTTTGCCCGGCGCTGGAGGCGTGCTGCTGGAGCTGGAGGTTCATCGGCTGCTGAGGGTGCTGGTGCCGCGGGTCCCGGAGGTACTCGTACTGGGAGTACTGGAGCTGCTGGGCCTGCGGGTACGACTGGAGCTGGAGCTGCTGAGGGTGTTGGCGCTGAGGCTACTGCTGTCGGTCCTGGAGGCGGTCCTACTGGGGGTGCTACTTGTGCTGCTGGAGGTACTGGAGCTGGAGGTGCTGCTGGCGCTGGTGCTGCCGCTGGGGGTACTGGTGCTGTCCCTGCTGTGTCTGGAGTCGCCGCGCGGCCTAGGCCGTACTTCGTTCCGCTCCTTCAGCAGGTTCTTGGTCTCCCGCCTTCTACTGGTCCTCCTCCTCCCTTAGAGTGTCCACAGCCTGTCCCGTCACAGTTACAGTTACAGCCGGCCTCCCCACTGCCCGCTCCTTCTCCCTACACTGGTCCTACTGGAGGTCTTGCTGAGCGTCGTGAGCCTGCGTCTCGCCCTGCGTCGCCTGTCCGTGCTGCTCGCACTAGTGGTCGTGGTTCGCGTCATCGTCCTCCTCCTGTCCCTGGCACGCACCGGATGTCTCTGCGTCCGTCCACTGCTCCTCTGCGTGCCCCTTTGCCTTCTCCTCCTGAGTCCTCTCTTCCTGCTCTTCCTGACCCGGAGTCGGACTCTCTTCGTGCTGCCAGTCCTACTGTCACGCGTCTCCTTGCTACTGTCGTCACTGACCCTTCCTTTGAGTCCACTGCTGCGTCTGCCCTAGTTACTGAGCTCGTCGACTTTGCTGCTCGCTGTCGTCTAGACTACGCTGCTAGTCTTGTTGCTGAGTCTGAGTCTGTCTGTCCTCCGTCCGTCGGGGGTGAGTGTGCCCTTGGCACGGACGTCCTTGAGGACAGGCAGGAGGAGTTCCAGTGTTTGGCTGCTGCTTCACCTCATCTCGTGTCCGTACTGCTTACCCCTGAGGGAGACCCGGATGCACTTGACATCCCGACTCCGCGCTCTTACGCGGAGGCGATAGAGGGTCCCTACTCTTCTCAGTGGCAGGCAGCTATGGACGCAGAGATGGCTTCCTGGAAGTCCACAGGCACCTACGTTGACGAGGTTCCCCCGCCTGGGGCGAACATCGTCAGTGGCATGTGGATTTTCAGGGTGAAGCGGCCGCCGGGTTCTCCGCCTGTCTTCAAGGCGCGTTACGTGGCTCGTGGCTTCAGTCAGCGGCAGGGAGTTGACTACTTTCAGACCTTCTCTCCCACCCCGAAGATGACCACTCTTCGGGTACTGCTGCACATAGCTGCTCACCGCGACTATGAGCTGCACTCTCTTGACTTCAGCACTGCTTTCTTGCAGGGCAGCCTGCACGAGGAGATCTGGCTGCGTCGCCCACCTGGCTTCACTGGGTCCTTTCCTCCTGGCACCCAGTGGAGCCTCCGGCGGCCAGTCTACGGTCTCCGCCAGGCACCGCGTGAGTGGCACGACACACTGAGGACTACACTTGCGGCTCTTGGGTTTGCTCCCTCTACTGCCGACCCGTCGCTGTTTCTGCGCACCGACACTTCTTTGCCGCCGTTCTACATCCTCGTGTACGTCGACGACTTGGTCTTCGCCACAGCTGACACTGCTGGACTCGCCCACGTGAAGTCCGAGCTGCAGAAGAGACACACGTGCACAGACCTGGGTGAACTGCGCAGCTACCTTGGCTTGCAGATCACTCGGGACAGAGCACGCCGCACCATTACCCTGACTCAGTCACACATGGTGCAGCAGGTCCTTCAGCGCTTCGGCTTCACGTACTCCTCGCCTCAGGCCACTCCTCTGCCTACTCGCCACTCGCTCTCAGCTCTGCCTTCGGATGAGTCCGTAGAGTCGAGTGGCCCGTACCCAGAGCTTGTTGGCTGCCTCATGTACCTGATGACCTGCACACGACCTGACCTTGCATACCCTCTTAGCATTCTTGCACGCTATGTTGCTCCTGGGAGACACAGACCGGAGCACATGGCTGCAGCGAAGAGGGTGTTGCGCTACTTGTGCAGTACGTCGGGCATGGGGCTTGTGCTTGGAGGGCAGAGTCCAGTGGTCCTCACTGGGCACGCAGACGCTTCTTGGGCTGACGACCAGGCTACGCAGCGGTCGTCACAGGGTTACACCTTCAGCCTTGGTTCCGGCTCTGTTTCGTGGCGGGCTACCCGCTCGTCTTCTGTTCTCGGCTCCAGTTGTGAGGCTGAGATCTACGCCGGGGCCATGGCTGCACAGGAGCTTCGCTGGCTCACCTACCTGCTGACTGACCTCGGAGAGCCGCCTCGTTCTCCTCCAGTACTGTACGTAGACAACAAGGCCATGCTGGCCTTGTGTCGAGAGCAGAGACTGGAGCACAGAACGAAGCACATTGCTCTCCGCTACTTCCTTGCTCGTGAGCTACAGCAGCGTGGTCAGCTGCGGCTTGCGTACGTGGCCTCTGAGGCCAACACTGCTGATATCTTCACCAAGGCACTTGCGCCGTGTGATCATCAGCGCTTCTGTACTCAGCTGGGTCTTGTGCCTACCTTGCCTCACTTGCTCACCCCTTGACCTTGTTTGTACTGTTGCATATATATATACACCTGCTCTTGCTTGTCTAGCCTTATATATATATGTAATCCTGCATGTGAACTGGCCTTGTGGCCTTGAACTTGTGCTCGGAATGTGTGGTGACTTTGTGATCCACCCTGAGCTTGTTTTGCTTTGCTTGACTGGTCTTGTGACCCCTTGTTCTCCCCCACTTTGCCTATGGGGGTGTGTCAGATTTATATGACATAGCTACTGTAGGCTATAGTGGGGTAGCACATATGGGGTGCAGTTTTCCTAGGGTTTGCATTTGTACCCAACTTTCCCTTAGTCATTTCATTCCTCGTTTCTTCTCACGATCGTCTATTACAGTTTGTGGCGAGCGGTCCACGTCGACGACCATTTCCCGGAGCAACGCACGGTACATATCACTTTGTTTGGGCTCTCCAGTTCCAACGAAGCAAAACTCTGTGTCTTCATCGCCTGAGTCGGACTCTGTGTTAGAGGTGTAAGACATCGAACCCATTGCGGCTAATAGGAACGTACAGGCCGGAAAAGCTCCTAGAAGAACCTCCTATAAGGACCTAAGTGGTCTAATCGAAGGCTAAGGTAGATGTCAACCCTAAAACAACGAGAGGAAATGGTGTGAGCGATCTGTATAATATGTTTCAAATAATAATCCGCGGGAAGATGATACAGGCGTACCAAACCAGATTGGAAGTTTTAATTTGAACCTAATTGGCCAGGGTTTATGTTTGTGCCAGTGTTTTTACCATATGATTGGCGAGATCATATCGTAAATTGAGTTTTATTTGCGCGGTCAATATGGTCGCAATCCTTAATGATGGCACCTGTTTGGACGCGCAAAGCCAACAATTGCACTGCGCATATTATTGACGAATCATGCGCGGTCGTTATGGCTGTTGCGGTTTGATGCTGGTCAATTGAGGTTTATGATCGCGGATTTTTATGCTCGAGCGCTTATTGGTTACGAATTTGTTTGACCGCGCGCTCATTGGTCGCACATTTGGCCGAAATTGAGCGCGAATCTATTGTTGGTCGTGCATTTTTTTCGGTTTTGTGTACAGTGTGTGGGCCACGTTCGCACCCGCCACCCACCCAAAATTTTCGGGTGTGAAATAGTACGAAACACTACCGCGGGATGAGACTCGTGCGAACGAGAAATTTCGGGGATACAAACCCTTGTAGGGTAATGTGCCGGGGAAACAAAACACCTCGAAAATCCCCTGGCGTGGCCACTCGAGCAATTATCACTGAATTGGATGGCCACGCCAGCAATTAGGGGACAAGTGGGCAAGACCGAATCACGAAACAAGGCCCTGGAGCAATTCTCTCTCGGCCCCAGTTTGATATTTTCCCGTAGTCATTGCCCAAAGGTATCCAGTTGGGAGCATGTTGGGAAGTTGTGCGTACCCCGTGAGGGTCACCTGGGGAAACCTTCACTTTCGAAGCGACTAATGCCTCGAGATTTTTGGGATGCGCTCTTTGTGTTGGCTAGCTCACAAGGCTAGCCACTATATAACTAGTATGAGTGGTACCACGCCGCAGCGTCGGTTTATTGTTTAATTCGCCCCGCGTTTTCGCCACAAGCTTGTACTAGTAGTACTACCCCCCACGAAGCAGTTACGCGTCGAGCCATTGCCTTTCGGCGAGCCATTCCCGGACCGTGGCCTTTCAGAGAGAGAAGCACGCGCGGCGCATGATGAGGGCTCCAAGGCAGCCTCAGCCTCAGGCTGCTACCATCACTACTACGGGAAGCGGGAATGCAAGCGCTGCTGGGTGTGGCGGCGGCGGCACGGTTTGCGGAAACACCAGCATGATGAAATTGGTGGGGAATCCGGCCGTGTCGGTGCGTCAACAGGGTTGACCTCAGCAGCCTCGGGAATATCGCAGCATTGCTGCTGGTGGTGCCGTCACGGTATCACCAGAGACTGCCGCCAGCAGCACCAGAACTAGCATGGGGAGTGCCGCTGCACCAGCGCCTCTGGCGCGTCAAGAGGGGTCCGCGCAGCGGCGGCTCTCATCTGCCGCCGCGCTTTCCGCGGCGACCAGCGCCCGCGGAGGCCGTCACGCGCGGGCCAGTGGCGCCCCCGCGCTCGCTACAGTGTTCCCGCATTGGGTGGCGGTGGGCTTGGAGGAGCTGAGGCGCGTTCCGCAGGACGTGATGCCAGAGGACGGGCACTGCTGGCAGAATACGGCGAGAAACAAATGGTCAAGTTATCTTGCCACAGGTGAGCTTGCGCTGGTGTCGAGGCGGAGGGCTGCTGGTAGGGACGGAGGGCTTCAGCGTTCGACTTGAGCCGAGTTTTGAGGCGCCCCGGAGCTCAAGTACGGCAAGAAACGACTCGTCAAGTCATCCTGCCACAGGTGAGGTTCAGTTTCAAACTTTTCAGCATGCACGACTCCTGTTGGTCCCTACCCCTTGCTGTATGCTGCCGTCACCCCCGTGTCACCCCCTTTGGATCCTATCCCCACATCATCTCATCTTCTTTCACCCCTCTGCCCCACCCCCCATCCCCCCCCCCCCTCCCTCCTCCCTCCTCCCCCTTCCTCCTCCCCCTTCCTCCTCCCCCTTCCTCCTCCCCCTTCCTCCTCCCCCTTCCTCTTCCCCCTTCCTCCTCCCCCTTCCTCCTCCCCCTTCCTCCTCCCCCTTCCTCTTCCCCCTTCCTCCTCCCCCTTCCTCTTCCCCCTTCCTCTTCCCCCTTCCTCTTCCGCCTTCCTCTTCCCCCTTCCTCTTCCCCCTTCCTCTTCCCCCTTCCTCTTCCCCCTTCCTCCTCCCCCTTCCTCCTCCCCCTTCCTCCTCCCCCTTCCTCTTCCCCCTTCCTCTTCCCCCTTCCTCTTCCCCCTTCCTCCTCCCCCTTCCTCTTCCCCCTTCCTCTTCCCTCTTCCTCCTCCCCCTTCCTCCTCACCCTTCCTCTTCCCCCTTCCTCTTCCCCCTTCCTCTTCCCCCTTCCTCTTCCCCCTTCCTCTTCCCCCTTCCTCCTCCCCCTTCCTCCTCCCCCTTCCTCTTCCCCCTTCCTCTTCCCCCTTCCTCTTCCCCCTTCCTCTTCCCCCTTCCTCTTCCCCCTTCCTCTTCCCCCTTCCTCTTCCCCCTTCCTCTTCCCCCTTCCTCTTCCCCCTTCCTCTTCCCCCTTCCTCTTCCCCCTTCCTCTTCCCCCTTCCTCTTCCCCCTTCCTCTTCCCCCTTCCTCTTCCCCCTTCCTCTTCCCCCGAGCTCCGTGCTCTCCTCCTACTGCTGGTAGTACTTCCGCTGTGCGCCTCCACGTGCCTCCCTTCGCCTGCTCTCGTCCCCCCGTCATCTCATCTTCCCCTTCCTTCCCTGCACAACCCCCACACCCCTCCCCCCCTTCACCCTCTCCCCCCTTCGTCCCCCTCTCTCCCCCTACTGCAGGTCGTACTTCCGCTGTGCGCGCTCGGTGTGGCCCTCCCCGCCTGCCAGCGCTGGCACCCTCCAGGCCGATGCAGGAGCGGCATGGTCACCCGCTGCATCAGCAGCAGGGGCACGCACAACAGCAGCAACAGCAGCATCACCATCCACGCGAGCAGCAACGCCAGCCACGCATACAGACTCAACTGACCAGCCTGCTGCTGCTGCTCCGGCTGCTGCTGCTTCTGCTGGTGCAGCTTCTGATGCCAATACCACTCCTCATTCCAAGGCTGATCTCAATGCTGATGCTGATGATGATGCTGACGCCACTGCTGATGCTGATGATGATGCTGACGCTGCTGAAGCCAGCACTGCCACCCCAACCGCCGCCCCCACTCCCACCGTCGTCCGCCCCCTCTCCCACCGTCGTCCGCCCATGTCTGGCTCGCAAGTTGGTCGACTGGCACCTTATGCCCCTCACCCCTGCCGTCCACCCGTCACAGCTGCCGCCCGATTTTGACATGGCCGCCCACAACCGGGAAACGGGCAAGCCGCCTGAGTTCATACTTTTCATTCGGATGGCGTATGTGAACAAGCACAACCACCGTGACACACCCATTAGCTTTCGAGAGCAGCCCTCTGCAGCACTGGATGCTACTGCTGCCGCTGCCGCTGGTACTGCTGCTGCTGCTGCTACTTCTGCTGCCGCTGCCGCTGCTACTGCTGCTGCTGCTACTCCTGCTGATGCTAGTGCTGCTACTGCTGCTGCTGCAGTTGCTGCTGCCGCTAGCCAAGGTGGGGTTCGGCTGAAGCCCGCAGGACAGGCAGAGGCGCTGGGTGGTGGAGGCGAGAACAGCCAGTGGAACAAACAGCAGCTGCAGCGGATGCATTTGTTGCAGCAGCAATGGCATCACTTAGCGCAGCAGCAGGGGCAGCAGGGGAGGCAGCACGCGCTGCAGGAGCAGCAGGCGCTTCGTGAAGGTAGAGCAGCATGTCACGCAAACGGGAACGGAAGTCCTCCTGGAACGTTACGGGTCTTGACAGCCGTGCACGCACAACCGCACACACAGCATGCAGCACAGCACGCACCCTCAGCACATTCCCGCCAGGAGGAGATTCAACACAAGCAACAGCATCAGCAGCAGCCGCAGCAGCAGCAGCCACAGCAGCAGCAGGAGGAGCAGCAGGAGCAGCAGCAGCCACAGCAGCAGCAGCAGCAGCAGCAGCAGCAGCAGCAGCAGCAGCAGCAGCAGCAGCAGCAGCAGCAGCAGCAGCAGCAGCAGCAGCAGCAGCAGCAGCAGCAGCAGCAGCAGCAGCAGCAGCAGCAGCAGGGGCAGCAGGAGCAGCAGGAGCAGCAGGTACAGCAGCAAGAGGAGTGCAGAGCGGTGTTGCAGTCTAATTCTGCACCATTCTGCCTGACCCAGCAGCACTCTTCCTCGCCCTCCTCTCTCGGCAAGCGGTCACGTGAAGACGACTCCTCCTTGAGGTTGGGACTGTGCTTGCCCTCTCATGCTCCTCGCGCTTGCCACTCCTCCCAGGACTTGGATGTCAGAGCCTTTGACTCCTCTCCCGGATTCCACACCTTCCCCCGCCTTGAGCCCTCCCATGATTTGCAAATGACTCAGGCGGGTATTCGTGCGACTCATGCCTCTCATACCTCTCCCTCCACTCCCGCCTCTTCCTCCACCCTCGCCTCTCCCGCCACTCTTGCCTCTCCCGCCACTCACGCGTCTCACTCCCCCATGCCGCTCAGGCCAATTGGAGTGAGCTTTTCTCCCCCTGCTGATCTTTGCTCCCCGTCGCTTCCGTTGTGGAATAACAGCCGCAGCCAGCTGGGGTGGAAGGACGCGGGAATGTGCACTGTGCTGCAGCCGCTTCCGCAGCTGCAGCAGCTGCAGCGGCGGCGGCGGTGGCGGCGGCAGCAGCAGCAGAAACGACAACAGCAGCTAAAGAAGCAGTTAGAGCAGCAGCAACTGCAACAAGAGAAACAGCTGCAGCAACGGCAGCAAAGGTGGCAACCCCAGCAGCAGCAACAGCAGTCGCAGTCGCAGCAGCAGCCGCATGCAATTAATATTCTCACGTCGCTCACTCGCTTGGCCGTTTCTGCTCCTGCCACTGATGCTGCTTGCAACGATGCCACTCCGTTTAATGATGCCCCTCTTTTTCATAAAGCCCTTCCTTTCAACGATGCCCCTCCTTTCTATTATGCCCCTCCATTCAACACAGCTCCTCCTTTTAACGTTGCCCCTCCTTTTGACACAGCCCCTCCTTTTGGCACTGCCCCTCCTGTTGACACTGCCCCTCCTTTTGACACTGAACCTCCTGTTGACGCTGCCCCTCTTCACCCCGGCGCTGCTGGTGTCAGTGCTGCTGGTGTAGGTGCTGCTGATTGTCAAGCTATATTTTATATGTTTGTTTAGTTAATAATATAGGTGCTACAGTGAGGTAGCTTCTACAGGGTACAACTCATTTAGGGTTTCCTATTTGTATCCCATTCCTTTCTAGTTTCATCATTCATTCTCATATTAACATGGTATAGAGCATGCTTCCCCCTTCGCTATGTTTCCCTAGCGATTTCACTCGATAGTTCCTATGGGCCCACCGCCCCGCGCCTCGTCCCTGCGCCCTGCCCGTCGCCCGTAACTCGTCCGTCGCCCGTCGCCTCTGTCAGAATCCCAGCCACTAGACCACTGGGATAAAAGGGCTTGTTAAGTAGCAGGTCAGTGCGCCCATAACCCCCCAGGACAACGAGCCTGTAACCCTTCCCTATGATCAATCGGGCATCCCCAGTGTTGGTTTTCAGACAGCCTCGTGCCCGTCCGCTCGTCGCCCGTTAGCCCCGAGCCCCGGTGCCACACAGTCCGTTAGCTCGTCGCCAGTCGCCCATCGCCCGTCGCCCGTTAGCTCGTACCCGTTCGCCCGTCGCCCCTTAGTTCCGCGTGCGCCCGTGCTATCCGTCCGTATCCCGCCGCTAGCACGCACCCCACCCCGCCGCTTGTACGCACTCCGTCGCCCGACGTTAGGACCCCGCCGCCCGTACGCGCCCCGCCCTTTCGAAGGTTCTGTACGTCGACAACAACGCCACGATTGCCTTGTGTCCGGAGCAGAGGCTGGAGCACAGAATGAAGCACATTGCTCTTCGTTACTTCCTCGCTCGAGAGTTACAGCAGCGTGGTAAGCTCCGTCTTACTTACGTGGCCTCACGGGCCAACACTGCTGGTGTATTCACCAAGGCCCTTGTGTCTGGTGATCATCAGTGTTTCTGCACTGCTCTAGGCCTTGTGCCTACTCTGCCTCACTTGGTTACTGTTTGACTTTGCCTTGTACTGTGATCTAAATATATACCTGCATGCTTACTCTTGCTAGGTTGTGATCACTGTACTGCTTGTGCTTTTAAAACTCTGCATGTGAACTGGCCTTGTGGCCACTTGCTTGTGCTCAGACTGCGTGGTGATCTTGATATCCACCCTGCGCTTTGCTTTGTTTTGCTTCTTTTCTCTTGACTGATCTTATGACCGTTGGTTGTTCTTGCTATCCCCCACTTTGCGTATGGGGGTGTGTCAAAATGCATTGACATGGTTGTAGGTTGTAGTGGGGTAGCCAATATATGGTACAACCTGTCAAACTATATGTTTGTTAGCTTGTAGGCTATAGTGAGGTTCACTCTAGAGGGGATAACCCAATTAGGGTTTCCTACTTGTATCCAACTGCTGCCTAGTTCATTCATGCACAGTTATTTCTGACATGGTTTCAGAGCAGGTTAACGGCTCAAAATTTTTAGGGCCCACCGATCGTTCCGCTCGACCCTGCCCGAAGCGCTATCGCGCTGCTCTGCCCTGCTCGAAGCGCCCTTGCGCTGCCCTGCCCTGCCCGAAACGCGTCGCGCTGCCCTGCTGCCACGCGCTCTGCCTGCCCTAGCGCGCTGCCTGCTGCACACGCACTATCTGCCCGCACGCGCGTTGCCTGTCGCACGCGCGCTGCCTGCCCGCGCGAGCTGCCTGCCTGCGCGCGCGCTGCTTGCCCGCTAGCGCCGCCTGCCCGCGAGCGCTGCCTGCCCGCGAGCTGCATGCCCGCGTGAGCGCTGCTTGCCCACGAGCTGCCTGCCCGCGCGCGCGCTGACTGCCCGCGAGCGCTGCCTGCTTGCGCCCTACCTACACGAGCCCCGCCCGCCCGCGCGCCTGCTCCTCTACCTGCGCGCGCGCTGCCTGCCCGCGAGCGCCCCTACCCGCACGCGCTGCTGCTGCAGCTGCTGCATGTGCTGCTGCTGCTGCGCAACTGCTGCCAAATGCGCTGCTGCGCCTGCGCTGCTGCTGCCACACGCGCTGCTGCGCTGTGCCCTGCCAAGCCGCGCTGTCCAGCCTGAGCCGTGTCGCCCTGACGAGCCGCGCCGCCCAGCCCGAGCCGCGCTGCCTTGCTTGAGCCGCGATGCTTTGCCTGAACCGAGCCGTACTGCCCTGCTGTGCCGCTCATCCTACTACTGCTACTGCTGCTGCTATGGTTGCTACTGCTACTATGGCCACCATTTCCTCGTCACACGCCTCCCTGACTTCCTCCGCACTGTTAGGGACCACTTCCTCGCCCTTGACCCCACTGAGCTCACGCTTGCCTCGCTGGAGAAGTACCTTCTCGAGGCTGAGACCAGTACTGTCGCTGTCGCTGCCTCTCGTGGTACTCCTCGCTCCCCCTTATTTGAAGGGTGTGCTCCCTCCCCTCTCGTACCCTCAGTTGCCTCTGCTGCTGCTGTCGACCTCCTTGGTGCTGAGGAAGTCGGCGCTGCTTCTGCTTCTAGTGGGAAGCGCCGCAGCGGCAAGGGCAAGGGGGGTAAGGGTGGTGGGGGTGGCACTGGCGGTGGTGGTAGCAGGGGTGGTGGTGGCGGGGGTGGAGGCGGTGGAGGTGGCAGCGGAGGTGGAGGCAGTGGAGGTGGCCGGGGTGGAGGAGGTGGTGGGGGTGGTGCTAGTGAGTCTGCTGCTAGTGAGTCTGCTGCCTCAGCTAAGGCCTTGCACACTTTCACACTTGACTCTGGCGCGTCTCGTTGCTTCTTTCGTGATTGCACCACAGTCACACCGCTCGCTGCACATGTCCCGGTCTCACTGGCTGACCCCTCTGGGGGCCCCGTCGTCGCACGAGCCTCCACTGTCCTCCCGTGTCCGGCAGTCCCCTCTGGCTCTCTTCCAGGTCTCCACCTCCCCTCGTTCTCGACGAACTTGGTGAGCAACGCAGTCCTTCAGGATGTATGGGTTGATACCTTTACCCCTGGAGGGCAGCGTGTGGCAATCTGTACTACTCCCGGACTGGCCGTCACCTTGCTACGTTCACTCGACAGCCTGGGTCCAGTCTGTACACCCTTACCACTGCGTCTGCACAGGTGGCTGCGTCAGGTCCGATGGCTGCGTCGAGTCAAGTGTCTGCGTCGTGCTCGTGTCGGGTACTCTCCCACCGGACTCTCCTCTGGCACCACCGCCTCGGTCACCCCTCTGTGCCGCGTCTACGCAGCATGCACTCCTGTCTCCTTGTCTCTGGCCTTCCCAGGTCTCTGCCCCCCCTCCCGCGCTCGCTTGCCCCGCCTTGCCTTCCCTGCATCGAGGGGCGGCAGCGCGCCGCTCCTCACTCCTCCTCGTTTCCTCCGACCACTGTTCCTCTGCAGACTCTCCACATGGACGTGTGGGGCCCGGCCCCCGTCCGTGGGACGGACCAGGAGCGCTACTTCTTGCTGGTTGTTGACGACTACACGCGCTACACCACGGTCTTCCCCTTGCGGAGCAAGGCGAACGTCCGCGGTGTTTTGATCCCCCGGATCCGCGCTACTCGTCGCCAGCTGCGTGAGCGGTTTCGGCAGGTCCTTCCTGTCCTGCGTCTGCACTCTGACAGGGGCGGTGAGTTCTCTTCCGGCCTCCTTGCGGAGTTCTGTCGAGACGAGGGCATCATCCAGTCGTTCAGGCTTCCGGCCTCTCCGCAGCAGAATGGGATTGCTGAGCGTCGCATTGGCTTGATCATGGAGGTTGCTCGTACCTCCATGATCCATGCAGCTGCTCCCCATTTTCTATGGCCGTTTGCGGTCTGATACACTGCGCATCAGCTCAACCTCTGGCCCCGTGTCTCTGTGCCAGAGACCTCGCCCACACTACGTTGGACGGGAGAGGTTGACGATGCGTCGGCGTTTCGGGTCTGGGGCGCGCTCTCCCTTGCTCGCGATACCACCGCGAGCAAGCTCTCTCCTCGCACTCTCCGCTGCGTCTTCCTGTGCTTCCCCACCGACGCCCCGCCGTGGCAGTTTTACCACCCTGCCTCGCGTCGAGTCCTGTCCTCCCAGGACGTCACCTTTGACGAGTCGGTCTGCTTCTACAGGCTCCACATGCACGCGTCCCACCCGGTCCCCCTGCCGCCCCTCTTCATGGTCCCAGTTCCCCCCCCCGTAGAGCCCCTCCCCCCACAGGGTCCTGCTCCCTCAGGTGTGTCTCAAGTAGACCCAACCCCCTTGGTTGAGCCTTTGGATGTCTCCTCTGATACCTCTGGCCCAGCTGAGGCGGGTGACCCCGCCGCTGACGACACAGTGGCCACTCGCCGCTCTCCACGCTTGGAGACCCCTCCTGGTTTTCCGCCTCGACCGTCTTCGCCGCCTCCGCAGCCTGGAGGTGCTGACTCTGGGGGTGCAGGCTCTGGGGGTGCTGCGAGTCCTAATGGTGGTGGGGCCGTGGGTGCTCCTGCTGCAGGTCCTGGCGTTGGACAGCAGCAGCCGACTAGTCGACTCGAGTCCCTCTCACCACAGCAGCTTCGTGAGTGGGTCGTTCGGCGAGGCCTCTCTGGTGCTGGAGCTTGGAGTTTTAGAGGTCCTGGAGCTGCTGGTGCTGGAGGTGCTGCTGGAGGTGCTGGAGCTGCTGGTGCTGGAGGTGCTGCTGGTGCTGGCGGTCCTGGAGCTGCTGGTCCTGGAGGTACTGCTGGAGGTGCTGGAGGTGCTGCTGGTGCTGGAGGTGCTGGTGCAGCTGGTGCTGGAGATGCTGTTGGTGCTGGAGACGCTGGAGCTGGAGGTGCTGGAGGTGCTGGAGCTAATGGTGCTGGAGGTGCTGGTGCTGCTGGTGCTGAAGGTGCTGGAGGTGCTGCTGGTGCTGGAGGTACTGCTGGAGATGCTGGAACTGCTGGTGCTGGAGGTGCTGGTGCTGCTGGTGCTGGAGGCGCTTGAGCTGGAGGTACTGGAGCTGCTGGAGCTGCTGGTGCTGGAGGTGCTAGTGCTGCTGGTGCTGGAGGTGCTGGCGGTGCTGCTGGTGCTGGAGGTGCTGGTGCTGGAGGTGCTGGAGCTGGTGGCAATGGAGGTGCTAGAGCTGCAGGTGCTAGAGCTGCTGGTGCTGGAGGTGCTAGTGCTGGAGGTGCTGGAGCTGCTGACGGTACAGGTACTGCGCCGCGCCAACCGTTTTTCTACCCGCAGCCGCAGTCGTCCCTTCCACCGCCTGAGTCGGCCCTTCGCCAGGTTCTTAGTCTCCCGTCTTCCACTGGCCTCACTCCACCTCTCTTGTGTCCACCGTCTGCCGTGTCTCAGACACAGTTGCCGCCTGGCGCCCCACTGCCTGCTCCTTCTCCCTACACTGAGCTGTCAGACTCCCTGACTGAGCGTCATGAGCCTGAGTCTCGTGCCTCCAGTTCGTGCTCGTCGTGTCGCCCGTCCTTGCCTCCTGCTGTCCCAGGCACTCACGTTATGGCACTTCGTCCTTCCTCTGTTTCACAGCATCTAGTCATGCCGTCTCCTCCTGCGTCCTCTCTTCCTGACGTTGCTGACCCTGAGTCTGACCTTGTTCGTGCTGCCAGTCCGACTGTCACTCGGTTTCTTGCCACGTGTGTGACAGACTTGTCGTTTTCGTCTCCTACTGCGACCGCCTTAGTAGCTGAGCTTGTTGACTTTGTTGCTATGTGCCGTCTTGACTACGCTGCGCGTCTTGTCTTTGACTATGAATGTCCTCCGTCCGTCGGGGGTGAGACTGCCCTTGGCTGTGACGTTCTTGAGGACAGGCAGCTTGAGCTTGAGCACCTAGCAGCTGCTGCACCTCATCTCGCTGCCATGCTGCTTTGCCCTGAGGGAGACCTGGATGCACTGGACATCCCCACCCCGCACACTTACGTAGAGGCGATCTCGGGTGAGTACTCCTCTTAGTGGCAGACAGCCATGGATGCAGAGATGGCTTCCTAGAAGTCCACAGACACCTACGTTGACGAGGTTCCCCCTCCTGGGGCGAACATTGTCGATGGCATGTGGATCTTTAGGGTGAAGCGGCCACCGGGTTCTCCGCCTGCCTTCAAGGCACGTTACATTACTCGACGCTTCAGTCAACGACAGGGGGTCGACTTCTTCTAGACCTTCTCCCCCACCCCGAAGATGACTACTCTTCGGGTGTTGCTGCACGTCGCAGCACTGCGTTTTTACGAGCTGCACTCCCTCGACTTCTCGACAACCTTCTTGCAGGGTAGCCTTCACGAGGCTATCTGGCTGCGCCGCCCACCTGGCTTCACTGGGTCGTTTCGTGAGGGTACCCAGTGGAGCCTACGACGGCCAGTCTACGGCCTGCGTCAGGCACCCCGCGAGTGGCACGACACACTGAGGACGACACTTGCGGCTCTTGGTTTCGCCCCCTCGACTGCTGACCCGTCGTTTTTGCGCACTAACACTTCTCTGCTGCCGTTCTACGTCCTCGTGTACGTCGGCGACTTGGTTTTTGCTACTGCTGACACTGAGGCACTGGCCCTAGTGAAGGCGGAGCTGCAGGAGAGATACACCTGCACTGACCTGGGTGAACTGCAGAGCTATCTTGGCTTGCAGATCAACCGGGACAGTGCACGGTGCACCATCACTCTGACTTAGTCACGCATGGTGCAGCAGGTCCTTCAGCGCTTCGGCTTCCAGTTCTCCTCGCCACAGCCCACTCCTCTGCCTACAGGCCACTCGCTCTCAGCTCCACCTTCGGACGAGTCCGTAGAGCCGAGTGGTCCGTATCCACAGCTTGTGGGTTGCCTCATGTACCTGATGACGTGCACACGACCTGACCTCGCGTACCCTCTCAGCCTCCTGGCTCGCTACGTGGCTCACGGTAGACACCGGAAGGTGCACTGGGAAGCTGCTAAGAGGGTACTGCATTACTTGTGTAGTACATCAGGCATGTGGCTTGTGCTTAGAGGACGGGACTCAGTGGTACTCACAGGTCACTCAGACGGTTCCTGGGCCGACGACCAGGCGACTCAGCGATCGTCACAGGGTTACACCTTCAGTCTCGGCTCTGGTTATGTCTCGTGGAGGTCCACTCGTTCGTCTTCTGTGCTTGGTTCCAGCTATGAGGCCGAGATCTATGCTGGGGCTATGGCTGCACATGAGCTACGCTGGCTGACCTACCTGCTGACCGACTTGGGGGAGCGGCCTCATTCTCCTCCAGTTCTGTACGTTGACAACAAGGCCATGCTTGCCTTGTGTCACGAGCAGAGACTGGAGCACAGAACGAAGCACATTGCTCTTCGCTACTTTCTTGCTCGAGAGTTACAGCAGCGTGGTCAGCTTCGCCTTTCCTACGTGGCCTCTCGGGCCAACACTGCTGATGTCTTCACCAAGGCCCTTGGGTCTAGTGATCATCAGCGTTTTTGCACTGCTCTTGGGCTTCTGCCCACTTTGCCTCACCTGCTTGTCTCTTGATCTTGCCTTGCACTTGTTGTACACTGATATATATAATTATACCTACATGTTTACACAGGCTAGGTTGTGATCAGTATACTGCCTTGCTATTATAACTCTGCATGTGAACTGGCCTTATGGCCGCTTGCTTGTACTCGGACTGTATGGTATCCTTGAGATCCACCATGGGCTTTGCATTGCGTTGTTCTCTTGCCTGACTGGTCTTGTGACCGTTCGTTGTGTTGGCTATCCCTCACTTTGCCTATGGGGTGGTGTCAAACTACCGCCATCGCACGTATATAAGACATTGTTGAATTGAAGACAGGGGGTATCTATTAAACGGGTGTCTCTTATAAACGGGTGTTCCTCATTATAAGACACATATAAGTGTGTACGAGATAAGACAGTGTCTTGTAATCGGAACAAGGGTTTAGGGGTTTTCTTATAAATGGGGGGGGTGTCTTCTAAACGCTCCTTAGTTCCTTAACGGGGGTACATGCATACATTCATGTATTTCTACATCTACCTAGCCACCCTCCGTCACGGCCTCCTCATCTGCACTAACATCAGGCTCCCTAACACCCAGTTCTGGCACTCGCCAGGCATGCCTAGCCGTCTGCCTTGGCTCAATCATGCGGTCAGCCTCGGCCGCCGCTCCGCGGTAGTTGGGGGTCTCCTGGTACAGCACCTCCGGGCCGGTTGCCACGGCCACCTCCCGCACGCCCTCCGCCTGCATCTCCTCCTCCTCCTCCTCCTCCTCCTCCTCCTCCTCCTCCTCCTCCTCCTCCTCCTCCTCCTCCTCCTCCTCCTCCTCAAGAGCCTGCCCAAGCAGGCGCGTGTTGTCGCCCGTGGTCCCCCCGAGGGTCATGTCCTCGGAGACATCGGTGGTGCTCCTCGCGCGCAGGTGAGACATCACCAGGTGGTTCTCCGTCCCGTCCAGCTTGCTTGAAATCCCACAGTGGCGGAACGCGTCGATGATGACCTGCTTGGGGACTTGATCCCATGCCTCCGCAATCCACTACAGCACCACGGGGTGCGGAGGCCTCCGCAGGTTCCTTGCGAGTGGGAAAGAGGCAGGGACAGCATGCCGTTAGAGCCTTGAAGGGGTAACAGGGATGATTAATATAAAAAACATTACTCACCCTTCTTCGTCTTCAGGTGAATCCCTTCACGCATGAACCACCTGGCGTAGCGTGCGCGCACCGCGGCCTTGAAGCACCTGTTGATGGAGACGTCCAGGGGTTGAATCTGGCTCGTGCAACCTCTGGGATCACTGCAGGGGTGATGCTATGCGTATGGTAAGCCTGGAGCATGCCCTGGGTGATGTGGCCTCGGTAAGAGTCCAACACCAGCATCGCACGCCTCGCGTTCTGGCCGCACTGGGGGATGAGATGGGGCAGCACCTCCTTGGTCAGCCAGGTCTGCACAGCGCTCTCGTCCATCCACCCGTTATCCTGTGCTTGGCACACGACTCCTGCTAGGCACAGAGGGGATAGAGGGGGTCAGACAAGAAGGGCAAGCTCAACACCCGTGGAATGCAGAATTCGAGTTGCTTACCGTCAGGAATGTCACACTTCGGCAAGTTCTTCAGCTTGAACCACACCCACGGGCGCAGCTTCTCCCCAGTTGCGGTGCACGCGAGCATCACCGTCAGCCGTGTCTTCTCGTATCCTGCCGTGCGGATTGGGACCGAGCGCGCGCCACGGTACTCAATCGTCCTCTCGGCTGGCATCTCAATGAAGAGGGGCGTCTGGTCCGCGTTGATGATGCGGGTCGGGTCGATGTTGTGTCGCGCCCTGTTGATGCGCACGAACTTCCAAAACGCTTCGCAGTCCTTAGTGCACTCTGCCCAGGGAAAACACCGCACAGCAGGAGGGGATGCGTGATGTGAGTGAGCGGTGATGTGAGTGTTAGGCACATACAGTCAAGACTCGAGCGTGAATTCATGCCCTTAACCACTCATCTGCCGATACCGTTGTCCGACATTGGTCTTGACACGCATGACCAAGTTCCAGCGGTCACGGAAACGCTGGCTCCAGTGTGAGCTCGCGTTCCAATTCTTCCCGGGGTGGTGTTTTTTCATCCACTCGCGGCTCCACTTCTGAGTATCTTTCACCGTGATCGCCACCCCGTTCGCGCGCTGTAGGCAAATGTAGCGGTACAACGCCGCCTCCATGTCGGGGTGGTGTGAGTGGCGGCCCGCCCCGTGCATCCGCTTGCGGCAGTTCGCCGCTCCCTTGTAAAGGCCCGCTGCAGCCTCCGCGCTCCAGCGTCTGATGCAGGCGATGGAAGCGGTGGATTCCACGGAGGTCTTCTTGAGGGATCCAAGCTCGTGGTAGCTGCACGCCCACTTGAGTTTCTCGCGCACGGTCCATCCGCGCCTCGTCTTCTCAGTATCGCGGCTGCGAGGGGAAGGGGGACGGGAGTTGGGATCACGGAGGGTGGGGTCCTTCGGCTTCGCCTTCTTAGGGAATGTTGGAATCGGGCCTGCAGCCTCCGTGTAGTCATCGTCGCTGCCGAGGGCCTCGTTGACCACGATGTCGTCCTTGTTTGGCGTTTTCTTCTTTTTCTTAGCAGCACCCTTGCTGGAACCCGGGTCGCCGTCGTTCTTCTGTTTCTTGTTGCTTGTGCGGCGACGAACAGTAGCCTTAGCAGGGACCTCGGCGACCTTGGTTTTCCCCTTGTCTGCAGCAGTGAGGCGCGGTTGACGCTCCTCCCCCGAACTGTCGTCATCGGAGAGCACCACACGGGCACGCTTCTGCTTGCTTTGGAGGCGATGACGGAGCCTCCGCTTCAGCAGAGGAACAGTGTCGTCCGCCGTGATGCGCCACGGGTCGTCTTCGGAATCCTCCCCGTCGAAGAAGACCGCAGCAGCACCCCCCTTCGCAGCATCGGCATCCACCTCCGCCTCCGCATCCGCATCCGCATCTGCTTCCGCTTCCGCTTCCGCATCCGCTTCCGCTTCCGCATCCGCATCCGCTTCCGCATTCGCATCCGCATCCACATCCGCATCCGCATCCGCTTGTACCGTCGCTCCCGCAGCCACATCTTCCGCCGTCGCCGCCGCAGCCACAGCGTGCTCACGATCAGCAGCCGCGCCTCCGTCGTTGTCGGAGTCACCAGCCCGCCACTCCTCCACTTCGTCATCGGCGCCAACCGGCCGATTCCACCATTCGTCGTCGTCGATGTCGCCGGCAGGGATTTCATCCCCCAACGCGCTGTCGTCGTGGCCGTTCTCCGGCCAATCCTCCTCGCCCTCGTCGCCATGTTCTTCTTCGGCATCGTCCTCGTCACAGCTTGCACCTGAGGCGGCGGTAGAGCATCCCGCCTTGCGCGTATCCTTCGCCATGGCTACACGGATGTCATCACCGGGCGAGTTGATTCGCCCATAGTTGTTCACCTGCACGTGAGGGCGAGGGGACGCCGGGCTTACGGGGACTTTGTTGCGCATGGTTCAGCCTGCCGAGAGCAAAGGTTGAGCTAATCTCAACCTTCTTGAGCACCAAATGAAGCTCAAGCCCGACTACCCCCCCAGCCAGAGTGCCCCTTCCAAAGGCTGTCGAGCCGCTCCTCTACGAGGAATCTCCTTGTAGAGGACAGCACATGATAGCCCTCACGTTGTCATCGTGCTGCTAGCAGCGTTCTGGAAGCATCCATGCGCCGCTGGCAGCAACACGACGCTGGCAGCATCTAATGGAGGGATGTTGCCAGAACAGGCAGCTTTGCTGCATCCCTCACATGGCATGTGGTGGCGACGCATGCAAGACCACCGAGGTCGACCGAATTCACTGAATCTGGCCTCTTGGTGGTTTCTACACACTTTGCAACTTTTACAGTGTTCATATTTTTTTTTCCATTTAGGGTTTAGGGTAAGACACCCTAGTGTCAAAGTACAATTGTATCTCTAGGCTACAGTAGGGTCACTCATTAGTGAGTACAACACTTTAGGGTTAGGTTTTCCCTACTTGTACTCCCCTTCCTGCCTAAGTCAATCATTCATTCCTAGTTCTATTCTTGACATGTTATCAGAGTAGGAACCGTTCCTACATGGGCCAACCGTTCCGCCTAGTGGTAGCGCCACGCCCTACACAGTAGCCAGCGCGCTGGCGCCCCTCGCTCTCACTGTCGCGACCCTTCCTAAACGGCCCGCGCGGCCATACGCTTTTTTTTCTCTCTCACAGTCGCGACCCCTCCTGACCGCACCCTAGCTGCCCCGTGCGCCACTCGCGCGGCCCGTCAGCCCCTGCGCCCGGTCCCCCCTTGTTCCTACTGCTGCGCGCGCCACTCGCGCTGCCCGCCAGCCCCTAGCGCGCACCTGCTGCGCGCCCCTTTTGAGCGGCCCCACGCGCACCTGTTGCGCGCCCCTCGCTTGCAAGCCCACAGCCCGCGCGCGCCTTCTGCTGCTGCGCGCCGGCTGCTGCTGCTACGTGCCGCTGCTGCTCCGCCACTGAGCCCGAGCCGCGCCGCCCATTTCAAGCCGCGCCGCCCTGTCCGAGCCGCGCCGCCCAGCCCGAGTTGTCACTGCTGCTGCTGCTGCAACTACTGCTGCTACAGCTAGTGCTATTACTGCACTTGCTACAGCTGCTACTGCTGCCACTGCTACTGCTGCTATGGCTAACCTGTCAGTTCTTACGTTCGATGCTGAGGGCCGCGCGATTACCTTTGATGTCTGGCTCGACGATCTCCAGCTGTTCCTGCAGAGCGAGTCTAAGGATGGTATTTCCCTGTTTTTGCACACTGAGGGAAAGCTCCCAGCCCCTGCTGCCGACGCTGTAGAGGATCTGTCTAAGTGGCTCATGCGTGATGCAGCTGCCCGCCTTGCTGTCCGCAACCACTTGCCCGTCACTGAGCGCGCGCACTTTAGCCGGCAGAAAACGGCCAAGGATCTCTATGACGCTGTCGTTGCTCGCTACTCCTCCCCAGCTACTGCTGCTGTAGGCCGTCTCATGCTGCAGTACCTGCATCCCGATCCAGCTGAGTTCCGCACTGTCTCTGACCTCTTTACCTACCTCCGCTCTAGTGAGGATCGCTTCCGTGCCGCTCTCAAGCCGGCCTTTCTCGCTAAGAACCCCCCCCCCGCAGTACTTCACCCTGTACTTTCTTATCACTCGCCTCCCTGACTCCCTTCGCACTGTCAGGGACCAGTTCCTAGCCCTTGACCCCACTGAGCTCACACTTGACTCCCTTGAGCAGGCCCTTCTCGAGGCTGAGAAGAGCACTGTCGCTGTCGCTGCCTCTCGTGGCACTCCCCGCTCCCCCTTCTTTGAAGGGTGTACTCCCTCCCCTCAGTTTCTACTGCTGCTGCAGTCGACCTCCTTGGTGCTGAGGACGTTGGCGCTGCGTCTACTCCCAGTTGAAGGCGCAACAACAGCAAGGGCAGAGGGGGCAGGGGTGGTGGTGGTGGCAGCAGTGGAGGGGGTGGCGGGGGTGGTGGCGGGGGTGGTGGAGGCTCTGTGGGTGGCTCTGGGGGTGGCGGCAGTGGAGGAGGCGGACAGGGTGGAGGAGGCGGCGGTGGTGGGGGAGGCGGTTGGGGTAGCGGGGGCGGCGGAGGAGGTCGGGGTGGGTCTGGCAGGGGTGGTGGCGCTCGTGGACCCTCCCGTGGCTACGGGAGTGGTCAGCAGCTGCCGCGCCTCCCGGACAACCCCACCGACCAGCAGCTCCGTGAGTGGGTTCTCCAGCGTGGGGGCTCTGGGGGCTCTGGTCGCTGCCCTTATGTCCGACGCTCGGGGCCTCTGAAGGGCACTGTCTGCGGGAAGCCGCACACTGAGTACAAGTGCTTCGGCCGTCTTGAGGACGCATGGGTGACTGAGTACACCGAGGACCAGCAGGTGCCAAACTGGCTGCAGCTGATGGGGAAGGGGGTAAATGTGTTTGCTCTTGACTTTGCTAAGATCAATGCTGCTCTCTATGCCATGTATGTTGCTGATTAAAGTGTTGAGGGTGCGTGTTACTCGTGTGTGCCGTGCGATGCTGGTGGTGATGCTGCTCCTCCAGGTGCTAGTGAGTCTGCTGCTGCTCTAGGTGCTAGTGTCGCTATTGCCCCAGGTGCGAGTGAGTCTGCTGCTACTGCTGAGGTCTTGCACACTTTCACGCTTGACTCTGGTGCGTCCCGTTGCTTCTTTCGCGACTGCACCACTGTCACCCCACTCACTACACCAGTCCCAGTCTCACCGGCGGACCCCTCTGGGGGTCCGGTAGTTGCACGCCACTCCACTGTCCTCCCGTGCCCAGCTGTCCCCTCTGGCTCTCTGTCAGGTCTTCACCTCCCCTCGTTCTCGACGAACCTGGTAAGCAACGCCATCCTTCCGGATGT